CACCACGCTGCCGGGCAGCCCTCCTGTGTTAGCAGGATCAAGGCAGATCTCTCCGCACTGAGTGAGGGGGCAGGGAACAGCTGGCTGGGGTATGTTGTACCTGACCCTGCCCTGCATATTCCTCATCTGCGGTGGGTGTCCCATCTCTGGTCTGGTCACCTGGAGTCTCTTGCTAACAGAACCCAGGTAAAAGTATCAGGCAGAGTCTATGGAATTGTAATGATGCTTCCTGCAGCCCCTGGCCTCTGAGCACTTCCCAGGGCTTTAGGAGCGGTCATTAAGGCCTGCGTGGCGGATGCCAGGGAGTGTCCTTATTTCCATATTACCAAGAGGGAAACTGAGGCACGGTCTCCTCAAAGCATCTCCTACGGCTGCACCCTTGCACTGCCAGGGTGCAGCCAGGGCCCATCTGTCCTGTCTCCTGCTGCAGCCAGCACCTACGGCTTTAGAGGAAGAAGCACAAGACTCTGCAGTGATGAGAGAAGTTGCCCATATTCCCTCCTGTCCCCTTGGCTCCTGCCCTGATACATGACACTTCTGGTTATTTACATCGAAAATATTCTGCTGATGGGCTTCTGGTTTCTCCACCAAAGAGAGTTGGCCGATCACATCAGGCATTTTCATTTCCCTTCCCCTGTCACTAGGCTGGATGAAATGGCTCATGAGAGAGCACATCCTGTCCCCCGTTTTTCCTGGGTGGGGAGCAAGAAGGGGGGTTGGGGAGACGACATCTGGCTGCCGTAACCACTAGCACTGGGTGAATCATTGTTTTCTTTTTTGCTCGGTGTGTCCCCTTCCCCTCCTTACATGCTGGTAAGTTAGAAAAGTCGGGGTGGGGATGGAAGGTGCTTTATGTTGGGCAGAAGTCGAACATTTTCAAAATGACTGGTGAAACAAGAAAGCAACAAACAGTCCTGCCATTTTAAGTCAAACAAAACATTTTTGCTGTGCCAAAGATCAGCATGATTCGGGTCAGTGGGAGCATTGTTAGATAGTTCTGTGTTTTCCTAAATGAAATCGTAGGGAATTCTGAACAGTCATTTTTCAAATTGGAAAAAAAATGAATCTCCTCTTTGCCTTCACACCCCCAAATGTGTTCGGTGCGAAGCAAATGATTCCAGTGAAACTGACTCAAAATTGGTTGAATTGTCATTTACCTCTTACTTCCTCCGCACACCAAAGTTTTAGCCAAAAGTGTCCATCCTTTTCTACTGGTTGCTGAGAAAGGACCAGATAAGGGTGGATTTGCTAACGCAGCGGGCACATGTTTTAAGCTGCGGTGAAGTGAGCTGGGAAACCCCTTCCTGTTTTGTGTAGTTCCCCCTTTGGTTTTCAATATTTTCTTCTGGCCGGAGGAAGTGAGATCTAGGGGTTAAAGCAGGGGGCAGGAACATGTGGAGTCTATTTCCATCTCTTGGAGGAAGGGGTCTCATTAAATCGCAGGGGCCTGCGCTCTACTGGCTTAAGCAGGTGGCTGACAGTAAGAACTGGTTTCTATTCTTGATTCTGCTGTAGGTTTTCGGCAAACCCTTGGGTGAGTCACCCTCTGACTCAGTTTCCTTATCCATTTGACATATGACTGATGGTCCTGCTTAGGCTCAGTTCAGGAATGTTTGGAAAGTTCTTGGAGAAAAGTGACTGCATCAGTGCAACATCTTGTGCCGAGCTGGCCTAGTGTGCGAGTGACTCCCACCGCCCTCTACTGGATGAATTAGAGCTGCTCTTCTATGTGTCATAGGCCCTGTAGTGCTAACAGCTGATGGTGATTCCCTGGCAGCGGGCTATGTTTTTGAAGGAGCATCTGAATTTCCCCCAGTATGTAGCATGGCGACTGGCCTCTTCTGGGGACAATCTGAACTGCCGCATGAGCAGCTGCCCCAGAAACAGTTAACACATCAGGCTTGTCTCTGAAAGGCTTCTCTCTCCGGGTGTCAGTGCTGGGCTTGCAGAACAGGCCTGCCAGTCATTGGGCATTGTCCCGGGGATTTGGGTGCTTGGGATCACCGAATAAAAGGCCCATTGTTTGGGGCACGTACCAACCTCCCCCCCCCCCCCCCCCGCCGTTTTTTTTTTTTTGTCTCTCGCGCTTTCTGTC